CCAACATCAGAGATACCATCATAGATATGTTGCGACCTCAACGGCCATGTTGGAGATAAAGCAAATGGGTTCCACGGTGTCCATGGCTACGGGCCTCAAAACGAAGACGGTATATGGATTCTGAAATTTGCAGAAAGCCATGAACTTTCCTTGAAGTGAAAGATCAGTACGGCTTCATGGCAGAGAGATCCGCCATTGATGCTATCTATATCATTCGTCAACTACAGGAAAAATACTTGGCAAAGCAAAAGCGACTGTTCCATGTATTTGTAAATTTTGAAAAGGCTTTTGATAAGTGGTGTCTACGTAGACAGCTTGTTCCCGAACATCTGGTTCGGCTGATTATGGCAACGTACTCTAACACAAAAGCTCAGGTCAACACAACACCCGGTAAAACGAATGAATTTGACATTAACGTCGGCGTCCATCAGGGATCAATACTCAGCCCCCTGCTCTTCATCACGATGATAGAATATATAACCAAACCGATACGCTTAGATAACATATGAAATGTGATAATATGCAGATGAACTCGGAACAAGACGCAACCAGAAGGTCTGAGGTCTGGAATACCCAGCTCACTAAACACAGGCTAAAGGTAAACCTTGACAAAACAAAAACTATGATCACCGGTGGTACCGCTGAGCCTGTGGTCTCTGGTAATTGGTCATGTTCGGTGTATGGGACTGGATGCTCGAAAATTACCGGCTCACTGTGGAAAGTGACTGATTTCGTATGCTCCACCTGTATCAACCCGCGATAACGAGGTATATTTACTTTTTAGTTCAATTAAATCCATTTTACAATATCTCACATTTTACTTAAAATAGCGCTCGGCTGATGAAACTCATTATTAGAAAATCGATTCAATTTTGTTAATTAATTGTCCAGCAATTGGTTATTATCTATATCATATATACGACGCTTGCTACGGGTTGTTTGTATATGTATATAAGAGTGTGCATATTTAGAAAATATAGATGGCGTAAGGGCATAATGTTCAAGAAGTATAGGTCACTATACTTATAGAAAGATGCTATGTAGGTATGGCAGTAAAAAAGGCTGTGAGTTGATAGACAAGGTTTCTAGATTCGATGTAAAATTTTTGTTCGGTCTTTGTTAGTTGGTTGTCGTCTAATTTTAATACATTGTTTGATTAATTAAGGTTTTGATTATTATTGTTATGTAAATATTGACAAAGATTTGATTTTTATTTAATTAAATTTGTCTTGGAGAAGAGCTAACAGTCCGGTGTTTCTAGTCAGCGAATAGGGTGCAAACGAACTTCAGACTCTGAAAGGATCTATTGTAGAGTGGAAACAGGAAAGAGACCGCCAGCTTAGGCGGACGCGGTTGGAGAATTCGAATGTTTCTAATCTACTGTATAAAAAATCTACTGTATAAACCTGACCTTCCATCCTAGTGCTTGCAAAAATGCTTCATAAGCAGGACTTCCTTGCTTGTTAGACAGAATACTTAATTTGTCTTCTTGATTGAGTCCAACATATATGAGAGCAATTTTATGAGTTTCGCGACTGAAAATATAAATTAAAATCAAATATTAAAAAAAAACAAAATACATGTAATTCAATTATAAAATTTTAGTCCTCAATCTATTCGTTTAATTTCATGTTCAAGTCTATTCAAGTTTAATAAATATTAGCATAGCATAAATCACGTTATAGCAGTTAAAATTAAGTTGTTTCAGTAGGAAAGCATTAATATTAAGATATTAAAGAGTATGAATACAGATATATGCGAAGATATAAAAGAGAGTACAGTGCTGGTAAACAATTGGGTGTGCAGTAGACAGTCGACAGAGTAAATACAGTACAGTAAATATAAAACAGACGATAAAAAGTTCAGCACAGCCAAGCAATTAACAAATCAAGAAAGTAAAAATTCTCCAAAACCATTTTAAGAATCGAAGTACTTACATAATATAATATAGATTCAATCAACATAATAATTTATAATATTGTTATAACCGACCCCTTGAACTTGTAGGGTATGGTTATTTCTCTTTTATTTCTCTTTATTACGTGATTTTTGAATCCTAAACAGACTTATTTTAGATGACTTTATTAAAAAGAAAACAGAGCTGGCAATTGCCGTAATTGATCACTCTTCGTTCGATCGTTAAAATCGTTAGACTACAAAACAATAACTAATCGAGAGTTAAATCACAAGATAAAACTAATCGTCAATAATTAAGCTCTTCTCGTCAGATGTTTCTTGACCGTAAATCCTAAGTATCTACTTCTCGGAAGATTATCGTAATTCACTAGCAGACCGCGTGTAGAATTCTTCGCGACAGACTTCTCCTTGGGCGTTATCGCTAATTTGTTTGCAGTACGCACACAAAATATCTCTGCGATAATAGGACTGCCTGAAACTTCTTCTGACTTCTTCGTAATTCTCGTCGTTCCTTGTTATTTCGCGCACTTCTCTCTCTATTCTCTCTCATCTTTTTTTTCTATTCTCCCCTTATAAAGTTGGTGATGCCGCGTCACGTGACTTTCCAATCGCGTGCTTTTGAAAATTGTCGAGAAAATCATTGACGTCGTGCATCACAATCGGAAATTATCAATTTGGTTTCCTAGCCGAGAAATCAACAATAGATGCAATTCTCATGCAACTGCAATAGAAGTACCTCGCAAAGCATCAACAACTATCACACATTTTTGTAGACCTTGAAAAAGCATTTGATAGAGTTCCCCGTTAAGCAATCAGATGGAGTCTAAGTCGACAAGTCATTCAAGAATATCTTGTTCAACTTGTGATGGAAATGTATACGAATACTAAGACTCTCGTCAGCACAATGGTTGGAAACACAGATGCATTTGACATCGGCGTTGGAGTTCACCAAGACTCGATTTTCAAAGTCACATCATTTCAATATCTAGGGGATGTACTGGATTGTACTGGAACAGCTGGAGCACGCATACGTGGAATAAATGGCATCTTCTTGCCTCAATATTGATGCGCCGTGATCCCACTACTACTACAATCAAGACTTTATAAATCTGTGACACGTCCGGTGTTGTTATATGGTGCAGAAACATGGCCAATGACAACCAAACTGGAACAACTTCAACGAACCGACATAAAAAAGCTCCGATTGATGCAATGAATTAGTCTGAAGGACCACATCAAATCTACCAAAATCCTGCGTCGTGCAGGTTTAGATGATATAAATGATGAATGTCGGCAAAGAAAACAACGTCCTACCTCGGGGAACCGGGTCTCTGGACGCAAAACGAAGAATGATTGATTGATATTTGCCAAATTCATGAAATGGTTGAAAAATAATTGAATAACATTTCCAAATTAATCAAAATTTGTTTAACAAATTTAATTACTGCATTCAAAATTTCAACTTAGAGTGTCAAATGTGTTGGTTTTTTTTATAATTATAAAATTCGGATTTAAATAAACTCACAAATATAACTAATATATAAATGTGAAAAATTTAACAATTTGAAGCTTTGACACTAAAATGAAATAGATTTCTAATATACACAAAAATTTCATATATACCAAATTTTATGTTGTTTCACATTTTATGAATAGAATGATTTTAATTTCAGAAAAAATCAAATCAAATTCTTTGTTGCCTGTTAAACAGAAAAACAAGTTGGTTATTGACAAAAGCTGGTCAAGGTACTAAACAAATTTAACCAATTGGTCTAGCTGAAGTTTTTTGACATTATAAATAGATAGAATGTTAAAAAAATAAATACAATTATTCAAACTTGCTGGATAAATAAAAAAAATGTAATTGCATTCGCTTGAAAATTTCGAAGTATTTATGCTTTTTATGTTCGAGTAATGCCCGCGAGTTAATAATTAAACGAAAAATGAACTAATTAAAAAGTTAATTTTCGATAACAATTAAAAAAACTGACCACTTTTGATTGTCCAAATGCTTCAATTCCCGAACGAGTTTTTCATTTTTTTTCAGTGAATCAATCATCTTTCTTAAAAAATAAAGATTTGGTTTTGAACAAGTAACATTTACTAAAGAAAAAGTATACGTGATTAATACTTGTTTTGAGAAAAAGTAACCGTGATTAATACTTGTTTCGCATCTCAGCGAAAAACATTTGAAAAAACCGATTTACTTTTTCGCAAACATTAATCAAAATTTAGATATATAAAAAATATGGATGTAGCAAAAAAAAATAAAGTTATTAATCAAACTGTAAGTAATCAAACATTTTAGCTTTGACAAAAAATAAAAACACTGAATAATAGGAAAAATAAAAAAAATAAAAAATAAAAACCTCTTTTTCCATTGGAAAAATCCTAGTTGAAACAAAAACTGTCTTATAAATTGATTTGTAGCTAAATCAACAAAACAATTTTTTTCTTCAGTTTTCAGCTGTTGTTGGCTTTTATGTTGCCGATTTTGGAGTTGAATACCCAAGACTTCATCACTTTAATTTAAGTTAATTATTAAAAACTAGGCTTTTTTAAAATAAATAAACATCAAAGTTTAGTTTAAAGCTGTGTCAAATAAAATGCGGTCAAAATATTTGATTAATCTGTTGCTTCAAACTTGTAAATGATTTTAATAAACATCAAAAATTTAAATTGCGGAATGCTAATTAGTCATTTTAAAAAGTGCTAAAAATTTTATAAATTAGTCATACAGATTTCCCGCTAAATGATGATTTTACTGTTATAAATGATGGTATATCATTAGTCATCATCTATGAAATTAAGCACTTAACTGGCACTTTATTTAGACAAATGAACGACAATTTGAAAATTAAAACATTAGGATAAGCGATAAAATAAGTTGCAACTAAATGAACTTGTTTTTTATGCAAGAAAAAAAATTAAAAAATACCTAATTTCTAAATGCCCGTAAATTGAAAACATTGTAATCGTTTCATATTGCTGTTGAATAGCTTGTGACAAAACGTCTTCAGCATGTAAAAGTTGATGGGGCGTAGTGAATGGAACGTTTAATTGAAATCCTTGTCTTTGCAAACATTCTGGGCTGGTTTTTCCAATGTAATTCAGAGTCTAAAAAATGAAAAATTAATTCTATTCTGGGTATACAAAATGTGTACATATCATGCAAACAAAAGTGTTATAAGTGGGAAAATTTATGCATAAGACATTAAAACATTGTTAAAATGCTAAATTGCCTAAACGCTATAATAAATAAAACGCTAAACTTTTAAAATACTCAATGAAGTAAAATAAAAAAATCATTTTGTCTTATTTTTAGAAGCCACTAATTTAAACAATTTAAACGTTATAAAACTCAACAAATAAAAAAACTGTGAAAAGTTATTTTTTTAAATTGGAAAGAAAAGTTGGCGATTGTTTTAAGCAAATAATAAACAATAAAAAAATTATTTAATATAAAAATTAACATACTTTATCGCTATCATCACTAGTTCAAAATACTGTATAACATGGAATGGAAATCATTCATTTCAGTACAGTTAATTTTAAAAAGTTTGAACCTAAACAAATTGAACCATTGAAAATAGGCTATTAAAACGAAGGCTAAATTAATTGACTATCTTAGGGGTTTAAGCATAATAAAAAGCTTCTAACTTTTTCAAGGTGGCTATTAAAAATTTAGATAATATAGAACATAATTAATTATTATTATCAATTTAATTATTGGCGATAAAACTTTCATTTTCAAAAGTTTGTAAAGTTAAATTATTGTAAATTGCTGAATTTTTTATTATAACCCTAATTATGGCTTAAAACTTAATCTTGAATGATTTTAAAAAACATAAAAATAAAACACAATTAATTACACTGGTCAGATGGTCAGATCAGGCCCGGAACTAGGGGGGGGCAAAGGGGGAAAGCGCCCCGGGCGGCAAATTTTAGACATTTTTTAAAAATTTGAAAAATTTATTCGCATTTGTTATAATATGGATGATGGATCAAGGTAAATTTGATTTTTTTATATTACTCATTTTTAATTTTTTTTAAATTTTTTAACGCCAAAATTAGAAACGTTATTCAACAAATCTAATGTTAATGTTATTATTTGTTATAATATGGATGATGGATCAAGGTAAATTTGATTTTTTTATATTACTCATTTTTAATTTTTTTTATTTTTTTTTGGTTTGTTTTTTTTCTATGTAAAGATTAAATTATAAACGCAAATATTATGAGCAGAATCTTTATCTTATTTCTTATTTGTAATCTTTCCCTTATTTGATTTAAAATCACGCCGCGAAAAATATCGTATAGTGTAGTAGGTTAGTTTAGTCGTTTTCATGTTAGAAAATAAAAATGGATGGCAGAAAAAAACTTAGTGGAACTGAATAGAGAAGAATTGCTAAAGAAAAACGAAAAAAAGAAAACGATGTGCTGTCACTAACGCCAAAATTAGAAATGTTATTCAACAAATCTAATGTTAATGTTAGTATTATAGTGAATAGGGCTCAAAAGAAAAATCAGGTAAATATTTTTATTATTTCAAATTTTATTAATTGAATAATGGAACATTATGCACAATGTGTATTAATTATGCATCCTTTTGAATAAAATAATTTTTTTAAATATTTCGTATTTAGATGACATGGAAACTAAAGAAGAGATCAAGGAGAAAGTATTTTGGTTCAACTTCAATCCAACAAATGAAACTGTAGAAGAATTATTACCTCAACAAGACCCCACAACTAGTCTTCAAAAGAAATCTAAGTTCCCTTTTGATTTCAGTGAACTTGGTTCATGGCCACAAAGTTTTTCTGATTCAGAAAGATGTTTCATAACAAAAATGAGATTTGAAAATTTAACTGAACCAAATTTGAGTAACAGTAGCCGAGAAGGACGCAATTTAACCAAAGACTGGTTTTATAAAGTTCTCAAAAATGGAGAAAAAATGAAAAGATCATGGTTAGCCTATAGTGAAAGTAATAAAGCTCTCTATTGTATTCCCTGCAGACTGTTTCCACACTTAGCTTCAAATCAAATGTCTTCTTTAGCTAAAGAAAAAAGACTTACCAATTGGAAAAAACTTAATGAAAAGTTGCCTGAACATGAAAATTCATCTAACCACAAACTTTGCTTTTGCTCTTGGAAAACATTAGAATCTTGTTTAGTATATGGAAGTATTGATGCAGAACTCCAAGATCAGATCCAACAAGAAGAGTTGCATTGGAAAGCGGTATTGCGCTGTATTGTAGATGCTATTCTATTCTTGGCAAAACAAGGTGGTCCATTTCGAGGAACTAAAGAAAATTGTGATTTCAGCAACCCATCTAATGGAAAGTTCTTGAATACAGTTGAACTTATTTCGCATTATAATGTTCCTCTTCAACAACACATTGAGTGGCATAAGAAAGGACAAATATCCTATTTTTCACATAAAATACAAAATGAGTTTTTAGAAATTATTGCTAATAACATAAAGCAAGGAATAATACAAGACATTTTGGATGCAAAATATTTTTCCTTAATATTTGACTGCACTCCGGATATCAGTCACAGCGAAAAATGACACAAGTAGTTCGTTGCGTCAAAAAAGATACAACTGAAATAGAAGAATGTTTTATTGATTTTTTTAAAGTTAGTGTCAAAACAGGTGAAGGTCTCAGTCAAGAAATTTTGAAAAAATTAGATGCAGATGGACTTAACCTGGAGAATTGTAGGGGGCAATCCTATGACAATGGAGCAAATATGGCTGGAAAATATAAAGGAGTCCAGTCCAGATTATTGCAGAAAAACCATCTGGCATATTTTGTTCCATGTGCTGCACACTCTCTCAATTTGGTTGGTGCTGATGCAGCTAGTGCTACTGTCCAGGCTCAGAATTTTTTTGGAACTTTGAACAGCCTGTATTCTTTTTTTGCACTTTCAACTTCACGTTGGGAAGTTCTCAAAGAAAATGCGCCGATAACATTAAAACCTGAAAACAAAACAAGATGGTCTGCAAGATTAGATGCAGTCGAAGCTGTATATAAACATTATAGTAAAGTTCTGCAGACTCTAGAAGATCTTAAAAACTATGATTTCTCAACTCCTCAAACTGTGAATGAAATATTCAAAAACTTGAATTTATCGTGATGGTTAGATTTTGGCATGCATTGTTAGAAAAGATTAACCAAGTAAACGAATTTTTACAAAAAAAAGATTTAACAGTTGATTTGGCTGCCCGAAACCTCAAAGGTCTTTTGACACTTATAAAGTCTTGCAGAGAGTCTGCACCAGCTGAGGCCATTGCTGAGGGTAAATTGTTAGCAAAAATAAATAATCTAACATCTGCATTTTCAGAAAAGAGACCAAGAATGAAAAGAAAAATGGCTGATGAATTGTGCAATGATGAAGCTCTGACAAGTGTTGAAAATATGTACCAAGTGACTATGTTAGAAATCATTGACAGAGTGATTACAGAACTTAGTGTCAGATTTGAATCTTTGAATAATGTAAACAGTATGTTTGGGTTTTTGAGTGGTGTTAAAATTGAAGAAATGCAGATCTAAAAATTAAAGCCGAAAATTTGGCAAATATATACTCAGCTGATCTCAACATTGATGAATTCATGTTTGAAATAGAAAGTTTTAAGCATCACGCTTTGACAGTTGACAAAAGTTTAAAAAAAGCCACATCAAAAGAAATGCTAAGTCTCATTTATAAAAATAAATTAGAAGAAGGCTACCCTAACATCACTACTGCATTGAGAATCTTTCTCACGTTGCCTGTCACAGTGTCATCTGGAGAACGAAGTTTCAGTAAACTCAAAATCATCAAAAACTACATGAGAAGTACAATGGGACAGGGGAGACTTTCCAATTTAAGCATAATTTCAATTGAACACAAACGAGCATCTCTTATCAATTTTGATGATATAATCAATACATTTGCAGCTAAAAAAGCTAAAAAGATTTGTTTCTAATATAATATAATATAATATACGAAACAATTACTTGATAAGTTGACAAATGACATG